TGTGCCTCCACAAATCTGAGGGCATCTTAACAACTGTAGATTTTTGAGGTTTTGTGGACTGCATACTAATATTTTGCTGATTTTTTGTCCCTGTCATTGTACGCAGTTGGTTAGTAATCTGTGCACAGTGCTGGAGCTGGATCTAGGGTAGAATTGCAAACAGCTGAGGCATCTGAATAGAAGTTTCGCAGTTGACATCGTGTCAGTGCAGCGTATACGCTGGGGAAGTGTTGGAACAAATTGTTTGCTGTGCTGAAGAGGACGTAATCAAAAAAGTTTTCATCAGTTGTTGTATGACTGTTTATTTGGTTTACGGTTCCGTAAGCGTTCATGTAAGGAAACGGAGATGTAAAGTCTGTTTTTTAAAAATTTAAAAACTGTTCCCAATAATGATTTGTTTAGCGCAAGCCACTGCTGAGAACTAACCGACAAAGCCACTGTTTTTTTAAATGTCGCCAAGGAATATCAGAATAATACCTGGAATAAAGCTGGTTTCAGTGACACAGCAGTATTCTGTTTGAACACTTGTGGAAACCAAACTTCCAAACTGCAACAAACGATCACACGAAACAGAATCAGTATTTGATTGTCTATTTGTTAAAATTTTCTTGGCACAGTTCAGTGCAGATAAAGGAAGAAAACTGTTTCTGACTGTGGGTATAGCGATATCTTAATTTTCGCAGGTCATAAGAGTGGAAAGAATTTGTTTAGAGTTAGAAAAAAGTTTTTTTTTGAGGGGGCGGTATAGATGGTATGCCTAAAATGTGTTCAGTGAAGTAACTCGCGTATATCTTTTTCATCACTGTAAGAGGCAATAAGAGGAAACCTTCATATGATAAAAGAAAGTTAGGTGATATGAATAAGTTGATTACAGTAAATAAATGCTGCAAAAAAAGTTTTTTTTATTTTTTTTCCGGCTATACAGTAATTATAAAGAAATAAAAGATAGTTACGACACATAAATCATTTTATGTTTCTATTCAAGTTTTAAATTTAATAAATTAATTTTATTAAAAGATAGGTTTACTTTGCTTACAGTAGAAGTATAAGAGTATAAACAGATGTATTTTTAATTGTGAAAATATAAAAAGTTTTACTATATTGACAGTACTTTGTGGACGCTGAAGATGAGTAATATGGACTGCACATTTATTTTACCTATAAGTTGTACTTTTACCGTTAATGTTTCCTGGTAATGATAGATTTTGATACCGACAAACAAAACGTTCCTAAGTTTGGATAAGATTTTTTGTTCAGTTACTGCCGACTGCTACCATATTGCACCAGTTCTAAAATTTCGTTTTCTGACTGTCTACCAATTATCGTAGACAATTGATTTTTATTCTTCTGTCTTAAAGTGTAGAAAAAAAGAAAAACGAATAAAAACTTACTGGATTCTTGGAAATCAACAAATCTGAAAGATACAAAATATAACATTAATATCGACAGCGCTAGAGTAAAACCCATGTTTACAACTGTGTTACGAGCATACATCTTTAATTATTTAAAATTGTGTTTGTATCTCTTAACTTTTCGTTGCCTTAGCACGACTGTATAAATGACTTCCTAGTTGAGACATA